ACTTCAAGAGTAAAATAGTGATATTAGGTATATGGGTATCGATACCATATGAATGAGTATCAATACCATAATTCTGAATTTGATAAAGGCATTTAAGGGGTATCAATACCTCGAAAGACAGTATCGATACTATTTTTGGAAATGAGAACTTTGAATGCAAAATGGGTATCGATACCCATGCTTGGTATCGATACCACAACTAGGGAGTATCGATACCCTATGGGGGTACCGATACTACTCCAAGTAGAAAATTGAATTAAGTCTTTCTTTTGGTTTAAGAAATTAAGGATCGAATTATGATGTTTAGAATCCCGATGTGTATATAATATGTATGATTGTGTAGATATCGAACGAGAATAAAGTCCAGACAAGTTAACAAGTAATAATCATCGAGAAGAGATAAGGGATCCGTATTGACTAGTGAGGCCAGGTGAGTGCATACTAGTTACATATAATTTTTAATGGAAACAGGACTTGCGATGAGTCTATTTCCTAGAGTAGTATGCATGAAGTCATGAACATGAGCATGTGTTTGATATGAATATATGCGCTATATGTGATTATATGTATTACATGATTTGTATGTATGCATGACTATATATGTTAATATTTTTGTATATGCTACATGATTTATGTAAAATACTATTATGTGATAATAAGAGAACATAAAATAAGTTATGTAATTATATGCTTATAAGAGGCAAGCCATGTGACAAGATAATGTGATACATAAGAATGTAATGTAAGCTACGTATAAGTGATGAATCATGAAGATATGTGGCTATGAGAAGATTTAAGAGAATAAAAATATAAACCATAAGATAATAAAGTATGAGACTCTATGAAAATAGTATATAAATTAGGGGACATGAACATAATGATGATATGAACCTATAAGATAAGTATTATAGGAAAGTTTTATATACTTAAAGGAAACTATGATATAGGAGTTATAAAAATGAAGAACTATAAAGCCATATGAGAAGGTTATAGGATTTATGTGGAACTGAATTAAATAGATAAAGTAAACTAGTATTTAAATAATGTGAGATAAGTGATAAGGGTTATATGTCATTGTATAGGTTAGTATAATAAACCATGTAAACTGGTATAAAGGGAAAATGAGATAAAGACAAGTAGCATCTACCTATAGGATTCATATAAGATTATATGCATGTGTGATAACATGAAAAAGTGAACTAAGTTCAATGATATTGAACCCTGTGAGTATAAGTATACGTGATATGTGACATATAATAATGAGATATATGAAGATAAGTAATGTGATTACATGAGTTATATATGTTTATATGATTGGATACATGTTATTTGATTCATGTGTATACACGTAAATAATATATGTGATATGATATGAGATAGATGTTTACACATACATGTGGTATATGACAGAAGAGAATGAATATGTTGTTATAAGAGAAATGATATGAATAAATGAATATATGCAACATAATGATAGTGCCCATGTTATGTGATATGAGAGCTAGAGGTATAGTTGGCATGCCAAGAGTCGAGGGTTACTTATGTCATTCGGGACATATGAACAAGTTACCTATGTCCTTCGGGACATATGGATAGGTCCTTCGGGACATAGTTTTCACATGCCACTTAGTGGATTCTTATACGAGCTGTGGTGACAACATATGTGTGCACAACCTCTATGTACTCGCATATCTTTAGTTCTCACATGTGTACATAGGCTAATAAAAGAGATAAAATAAAGGAACCTTGTATGATACTATGTTCTTTGTTTATGATATGTGTGGTGTGAAGTGTTACCAAAGGTTAAATTCAAGATTATATGATTTAAAGGGGTTAACGATAATGATAATGACAATGATGTGATTAAGACAGTGTTAATATATGTGCATGTATATGGTTGTAATATGAATTATTATACGATGTTGGTATTATGTTAGAAATTGTAATGTGAAATATTTATGCATAGTTAAATATCTGAAGTATGATCATAAGTAGTATATGCCTCACTAAGTCATCGACATAGCGTGTGAGTGTTTCACACGTAGGTTCCGGAAAGCGAGAAGAGAAGCGAAGAGGAGCAAGACAGGTCAGCATATCCTTTACGAAGTTCAGATTAGAAAAGAAATGATTAATATGTATTTTGTTATTTTAAATATAGTTGGCATGCACTAATAAAGTTGAGTTGAATATGCTCTGATATGTTTTGTAAAACCAATTGATTTTAAATAAATGAAAAGTAATCATTTTCTTGAATTGTGAAATTAACTTTTAGTCATTTTGTAAAGAAAAATGTTTGAAAAGTCAATGTGACACTTTGGAATCGGATCCGGGTCGGATACGGGTTGATGGTGTTACACACTGATTGGTCATTGAATGAAATTTTATTATATTTTGTTTCAAGCATTAATTATTATACATTTATATTTAAGTCACAAATCCTATGTGTTATGATATTTTCGTTGATATTTGATCCTAGCCATAATGTTTACGAATGTTTTATTTTGGTCACTGCTTTGTATTGATGCCTTTAGGTAGAATTATTGTTTATCCTTCCAAATTTCTGGTTTATCTTATTTTAGTCACGAATATTATTTATGGTTTATTTCTATTTCTAGTACCTTTATTAATTAATATCTTTAATTTGTACCCTGATTATTGTTGGTATTGCTATTTGGTCTTTCGAGATACTGTTAATATCATTTTGGTCCTTTAAATTACCAAGAATGCTTAGTTTCCTTTGGTTGTTTTCTGATCTGCAATGACTCTTTTTTTTTATTTCCGTCCTTTATATATATATATATATATATTCGTACATGTGCATAACATTATATGTATATTATGATTTTATATAGTTTATATGGAATAAATGTATTTTATATACTGTATTACACACATGTATTTCACCATGTTACATTATTAAATATTTTTATGTAGCCTTTTTATGTACCTAATAAGTATATATATATAAACACACACGTATGTAAATTAAATAAATGTCATTATCCATATTTGCACTAGATATATTTTTATTCTTTACATATTTTATTATGAGTATGCATATATTATTTACATATTTTTCAATTCATATTTATTTTTTTATCATTATTTTATACTCCTTTACTTGTTAATAAATATATTTTAATATAATATTCGAATATTTTCAAGAACACTTATTCATAGAATGCGAGTGGAAATCACCACCTTATAGAGGTAGTGTGATTCAATACGACATTCAAATGAAGTGTGAACTTGAAATAAATCGAGCTTTTTTTTATTTACCTATTAAAATGATAGTAATATTTTAATTAGCCCTTTTTATTTAATTTAAGTATTGACAATATATGTTTTTTTAATAAAAAAAAGTAACGGATTATTTCATGCAAGTTCTGATATTAATTTCTTATTCAATTTGATATTTTTAAACAATTCGATGAGAGAACATTCTTTTACAGATAAGAAATAGAGGGGATACCTTTCCCGATGGAGGACTGCAAATCTCGAGATTTTCTTTTTCAAGTGAAAGAATTTTTCCTAATAGTTAATTCAAAACAAATTATTTAATGTTCAATAAAATGATGATACTTTAAATATTGATATGAATTCATGATGTCTACCATTTACAACAATGTGTAAGCGACTAAGTACCAATTTTGGGCGTTATAGGTGTGCTTATCCTTCCACATGCGTAATCGATTCTCGAATCCTTAAAAATATTTTTTTGGTAAACGCATACAAACTTTTGTCTTTTAAATGATTTTTTTCTAAATTGTTTTAAATGACATTTTTAGGTATTAGACCTACCTAACCCAAAGGTCGATGGCGACTCCAATTCGTAATAATTAATTCAAAAATCTCAATTTCTTAATAAAGTCATAATTATTATTTTTTAAATATAAAAAAATTCAAAAATGGTTATGACACTTCGAATTGCCAAATTCCGGACGAATAGTCATGTCCCTAAAACAGGTTACCAAGTACCACAATTCAGTTAAGATTAATGCACTTTGGTGTTTAGTATGTATTATAGCTGTTCACTAATTGTTGATGACCATGTGATGTTACCTTAATGCGAACTTCAGTGCGAGGCCTAGTTGAGCTGCCAGGTTTGAAGGGCTTATCGTTAGTGTAGACCCAGAAGCTATGAATACCATCGGAGTCATTGTAACGATGGGACAGTGGTGTGTTAAAAGGTTTCTGCAAATCGAAAGTATCATCTGTTAATGGCACTTCACTGAACCCATCTGTAGGATCCGCACCACAAACAAGCCATTCATCTTTCAAACAAACAACAACAGCAACAATAATCAAAAGCGTAGAGCAATTGGAAACCATCATTTTGCGGCAATTTCGGAAGAAAACTGCTGGGAAATTTGAGTTATCTGGAGATATACAATAAGCAGATCTTTGGGACCTATTTATAATACGGAGTTTATGTTAAATTATAGATCGCCATTTACCGTAAGCGATTAAATAAGAATTGCAGGACCGTTATGCTGTTCTTTTATCAAGTGTGTCACGGTGCAAATAAGTTGGCCTTTGATGCTGATACTTTGTCTACATATGTCACTTTAATGATACTGCTATTTTGGGAACTTATTTGAAGTTCAAATTCTCTTAGATACTCGTATTATGTCTGCTTCTCCAATGAATATTACGGTGTCCTTGTTCGCCCCGTTATAAATTTGTGTTCTCCTAATTTGGATGAGATATGAATTTATATTTTATATTTTTATACATCAAACTTCGTTTATACGTTGAAAAACTATATCTAATATTATATTCATTGCAAGGTCTTTCGTAGTCTTCCTATCATGTCGTACTTGTTAAATTTCATGTTATTATGTCCCCTCTCTCTCTCTCTCTATATATATATATATATATATATATTACTAAATGAAAAACTTAGAACGAACAAGAAACAGAACACGTGTACCCATAAAAGTAAAACTTGATAATATTTATTCATGACTGACTAAACAGTAAACACGTGTAATTTCCACTCAAGGAAGCAGATCATTCACCGGAACAACCACATCAGCCTTCATAGACGGCGGAGAAGGATGAGACTTGGCAGTTTCATGGTCGCAGTATCCTTCAAGTACGTCACCTTCTTCCGTCGTATACCCTAGGGTTTCAAACATGTCCGGCCAACATTGATGGTTAATCGTACGAATAGCGTGACAACATGCATCACCGAGGTACGTTTCACCGTTGAGGAAGAACAAGATAATTTCTCCAGTGCAGGATTGAATCTGAGTCAAAGATTCCCAGCAACTCGGTGAATCGGCATCCAGACGCAAGCGAGCTTCGAGGGTTAGCTTCGGAGTTGCCAATGGCCTTGCATGGGTTGACGACGCCATTGTTAGGGCTAGAAGAAGAACGGTGACGGATGAGAAAAGCTGGAAAGTGTTGGCCATTGATGATGATGATGTTGCACAACTGGGTTTGATGAGATTTTGGTGGATGATATGTTCGGTTTTTATAGATTGAACTTCATGGACTGTTACATGCAATCGATAACGAAAAGTTTCTATGACTAATTATTTGTATTAGGATTATCATTATCATGGAAGTTGATGGGATTTTACGTTAGTAAAGGGATGGCTGTTAATTATTGGGGGTTTAAAATCTCCATTAAAACTATTCTTAAAGCTAGCTTTTCTTGCAAAGTATTTAATTAGGTGTAGTAGATGGCGAAGTGATGATGCTTAGATTTTGGAGAGAAAAATACTGTGGTTAATGATTAAATATTTTGATTTTTTTTTCATTAAAAAGACTAATTGGGTTGTACATTTCTTAATTTTTAAAAATGGTATTGATATATACTATTTTTAAAAACATTTTTTTAATTTGTTACGAATTTATAAGTAAAGAAATAAATATAACGAGATCAACATAAAATAAAACACATATAAAAGACATATTTAACATGATTCAATTTTATTTATTTATTTTTTAATGATAGATGAGCCTCGCTAAAAATTTCATCGTAACTCGATTAAGTCGGAACTCAATTGAGACTGCCAAAGGGGAAAAGAGTGCTCGAGATATATTAAACATTTGGTAATACAAAAGGAGTAATAAATGTTCCAACACAGCACAACCCAAAGCCCATTGTAACCCATGCACGAATCAGATCCCATACTAACCATACACGAAACAGATACAAGGCCACAACCTAACAAAAGCAAACCATAATCCATACCGCCCTTAAACAAACCACAACATCAATCAAAACCCTGAGTAGCATAGAATCCCCATAAGAATTGACAACTGCAGAACACCATATCCCAACCAGCGAAAAAACCATGCAGAACAGAAAACCCAACAGAAAAGTCGGCCTTTGCTCGAGCAGATAGATCACATAGTAAAATATATGAAATTCTACTATATCTCGAAATCTAATGTAAACTTAATCAAAATTAAAATTTGAGTTAATATGTATTTTTAGTCACATGTTAGATTCGCAAGTAATGGTTTATAAAAATAATTTTCAAGATATTTTCAATTGAATTAGTATAGTTAATGATATCAACTCCACCTTTCGAAATAATAGTACATATAACATGTTTAAACATACTCAAGTATCATGACTCGAGAATTTTCAAGTAATGGTTTATAAAAGTAACAGTATAGTTATTTATAATTAGGGATGAATATAGAGCATGTAGAATCGGATATGGATCGTCCTAATTGTGATTCAAGAATTATATACCTCTACGCGATATTTAATTCGATTCGACTTTAGAAGATTCCCTCCCGCCCCAAAATCGATCCTGAACCCAAGTATGAAAGGGATTAATATTGCTGTCATATGTTTTATAGGTTAATTTATAGTGATTCTCTATTCTGTTTTGAAATGCATCAGTTGGATTAATATTGCTTTATCAGTTTTTTGTTGAATGTCTTAACTGATGAGGATTTGGAACAGGTTTCCCTAAACCAAAAATAAAGTATGATTTAAAAAAAAAGGATCGTTACTTCGAATTTCCTCCAATTCTCTATCGGCTCATTTTCGTGCTGATGTTTCTCAAGTCTCTTATTTCTTATTCTGTACTCAGTGACTATTGTCATCAACTAAGTAACCTAATGATTGTGGCAATGTGCTTTGAAGCAATTAATGAGATTGAACCTGTAATGGAAATGATGAATTTATCTTTTGTTCTGATAGTTAAAATTGATTAGGCGATGCCTTTGTAAACAGCATTTATCAGCTGTAAAAAACAAGAGATGCTAGAAAATTATTTCTCGATGTTGATAAAAAAATATATTAGATATTTGAAGTAGTTACATATATTTTAACCAAAAAATAATGTAGAAACTTTAAGGAAAAAAAGGTATAATTTAATTATTTTTTTAGTTTAAGCCTATAAAGCTTAATAAAAATAATAATTTTATTATTAAAAATGTTAACATGAACCGAACCGACTGAAAGTAAAAAATCACTTTGTTTAAACTTGGGTGTGACAAATATGACCTTTGGATAGGTATACAATTCTATGAAACCCTCTTTTTTTTTCTTTTCAAGAACTCCAAATGGAAAAGATACGGTAATACAATTTGTCATGCCACGGGGGAAACACTTCCCCTCACTGGATAGTTTTCATTCTTAAATCAGTTAAAACTTGCCCTTCATACAAAGAAAAAAACACTATCCAAAAGAATGCAACGGCTACTATACAAGTTACCCAAATCATTAGCCAGCTTCTTCTGTCGTAACTTTGGAATCGGTTACAATTTCTAGACTACGATTTCCATTTTCACAACTTGAGGGTATAGGATCCGGTTGAATCATAGGAGCCTTATGATCTATAGTCATAATAGATTAAACATCCAAGGTAGTCTGGGGAGGATGATCATTGCCCTCCATACTATGAAAGCCCTTCTCATTTTCCTCGTCTTTATGTCGTTGGGAGATCTTTGATAGATCTTCACCTTCCTCGATAATACACTGCTGGGATATCTTCAATAGAAGATCTTCATTGTTCTCTATTTCAGCGTCGACCTTTGAACGCGGCTCTACACCTCGATCTTCTGTTTTTGCTTCCTCCGTACTTGGTAAAGTAGGCCTTGGTACCTCCTCTTGGACAAACACCCGGAAATTATTCTTGGACTTCGAGCAAAATACTTCATGAAAATTACTGGCGCAACAATGATCATAAATGTTGATTCTGTTGCCGGCCCTTTGTCGAAAATTTTCATAGGTAGTCTGGGAGACATTTGGGTATGTTAGTTAAACTACTTGCTGAATTAAACAAAAAATTTGATTTTTGTTTCATGCTGCACAAAATGCAAATCAAGGCCTAAAACTTGTGCTTGTCGGTGGATTTTTGTTTCCCAATATATTTATTTACCAACCTCTTACGAGTTATGAGGATTGAGGGCGTAAGATCAATATCAAACTTCGATCATTTCTTATGATACTTGAACAAAGAATTATGGAAATGCCTTTGGAAAATAACTTCAAGCTCTATGATTAGAAATATCTGAGATCAAGCATAACTTAAATCATCATATAGAAACGAGAGGTCAAGAGAAGACACACCTGGTTTGTTCAGGTACAAGTGAAACCCGGTGAGTCCACCAACAAACCACAGAGCAACAAAACAATAGGCCATTAGTACGACAGATGGAGGATATTCCTTCATTGCTTCCCAAACTGTTCTACGGTTATCATCCATCAGAACCTTAATGTAGAATGATGACATGGAGAACACATAGATGCACAGAAGAGTTGCCGAAGAAACAAACATTAAAAAGAACCGGTAATTGCGCTGCTCGTATACAGAATAGTCAACTACTAAACAACAGTGCTCAAGTGAAGCAACAAACATCTGGACTCCTATGAATAGATAGGTTTATCAGATAAAACGTACCAGTCCAATGCATTGCCCAACCCAAGGGCAGTGGTGATTGAAACGCTCAACACAATTGTTGCAAATGGAACAGTGGGAGCAACGGGGAGGTCGATAAAGCATGCATGTGCTACAATACTTCACTCGCACCTGAATTCCGTTAACCATAACTTCTTTAGTTCGAAGGAACTGACGGCCTCGATTCCCAGCCTCAGGTGATACAGAGGAATCATGGTGAGGCTCCTCATCTGGGGGACGTGAATTGCGAGGAATGATTCCTGGGTCCCGGGATGATATGTGGAAAAGGATAATCAACACCTATCAAAATAAACTGCGCTATTAAAATAAATCGCAACTTGGACAACCCAAAATAGAAAATTAACCAAAAAAAAAAATGAAGAGTTAAACATATATGTGACTACTGAATTTGTCCATCTTTATCACTTTCGCCTTTGAAGAATATTTTTATCAGTTTAACCACTGAACTTTATATTTTTAACACTTGCACACTTCCAACTTCTGTTAAAAGATAGCATTAATGGCCCAATTATATCTCTCCATGTGGATATACTTAAAAACCTATAATTTTTTGTTTTTTCCTGCACTAAAACTAGAAAAAACAAACCCTCATGTTTCTTTCCCTACCCCACGCCATTCCCCTCCCCTTTTATTCATCTTCTTCATTTTTTTCCTGTTATGAAAATTGTTATCATGGCAATCACCAAATCAAATCCCATGAATAAGTTTGCTTACTTGAATATCATCCACCCATTGCATACTGAAAATCAACTGCAACTACAACATGGGTGCATTTCAAGTGCCCGGCACGTTGCTGATGCAATGAACTGAAAAAATAGGGATGGCCTCTTAATGGGGAAAAATGGAGTAACAAATCAGCTCTTCATCATTTGGACACATTGATGAATTTTTTGTTGGAAAATAATGTTTAAAAGCATCCACCCCAAATCATCGGTAGGTGGATCAATCTGGAAGAACAAAACAGCCTACTAAATTGGTGCTTCTTGTCATCTAATCTGGCTTAGCAGCCCATTGAGAATGATTCTTCCAATTTTAGATGAAACTTGCTAAATGCATCAGCCTCTTTTAGTTCATCACCATAAGCAATGTACCATGCACTTGAAAGGCACACATATAATAGTTGCAGTTGAGTTTCAGTATGCGATGGAGAGGTGAGATTCAAGTAAGCAAACTTATTTATGGTTATGGGTACTCATCTGATTTGGTGATTGCCGTGATTCAAATATTCATGACAGGAGAAAAATGAAGATGTTAGTATGATTTTTAATTAGGTCAATGTGGCCAGATATAACTGGGTCATTAATTTTTTTAACAGTAATTGATGGTGTACTAACAATGTTAAAAATATATGAATTAAATGGGCAAACTGATAAAATTCTTCATGGACCAAAGTGATAAAGGTGGACAAGTTTAATGATAAAATATGTTTTTAATCTAAAAATAAAAGATAAAATGTTATTGTTATATTTATATATAACTTAGGAAACTACAAGGGACTATGACTATCCAAAGGCCAACCTTCTACGACAAATACATTTCTAGTACAAATTCGGCAACTAATATCAAATGGAAGGGTTCCACTATATATTCCTCCAAACAAATATTTTAAAATTCAAAAGATCAATTATCTTTAGGATTTTAAACATAAAAATTCGACCATGATGACCATGAAAGTTAATGACAAAAACATAGCTGTTAAAAAATCTCAACTGTTAAAAGTTGGCCCTTAGTCTTATCCATAACTTACAGTTCATAAAAGTTCTTACAGAATCATAAACACTGTTGGCTACTAGGGTGATCATGTCAACAGAAATTGTTCTAAAACCTCAAGAAATAATTCAAATCAACAAGTGAAGGGAGAAGATACTTACATTGATAGTAAAGACAACTGCTACCAACATAACAGCATATCCTGCATTATATGGATAAAACGCATGTCGAAGATGCCTTGCAACAAATATGCAAAAGACAATAGCAGGAGCGCTTATCAGCAGTAATGTGACTGGCAAAGATCTAGCATCAGGACCAAATATTAGCCTTCCACCGAGGAAAATTTTCTTCAAAATGTATATAGAGGCGGAATTAAATGCTGAATGAAATACATGGATATGTTCAGACTGGAGACAACAAAAGATACAATGAAAAACATCAGATTGTGCTATAGTATTTCCATATATTACCATATTTTAAAGTTGTCATTCTCTGTACTTTTTCAAAACTTGCACACCTTTTATTCAATCGTATGGCCAACTATCCTAAAATACTCGTAAAAATTTGAACTTTGGTATACCTCTATCCTATGTCTCATCTACAATCATATTATATGCCAATAGTATACACTATACACAAGAATTTCTCTTGATATCGCATCCAAATAAACAGTGAATGCAGCGGAAAACAAACCAACAAGTTTCTTATGGTTAGATTATTCAAAAAACTATTTGTCTTCTTCCTTTTTGGGAGGGGGAAAGAGGGGTTATTGGGGGATCGAAAATATCACATCGCACTTCAAACAAATGTAATCAATCATCTAAACCTTAACCACAATCTATTACCACAATGTTCGTCCAGTCTAATAATATTTTTGCACTAAATATTATGCTAAGGCATTCCTTTGATTCAAATATATGACATACTAGTAGAATAGCAAGTATATCCACATAATCATCAAACTCGGCAAAGCAATGTCTTCATTATCTGGGCTTGGAATTGCACCAAATTTGTGAAAATATAATAATCATTCTTCGATGAGGACATTTCTCCCAAAATTTTGGCAGATTTAGAATAAGATCATACTCTTAACAATGCTCACAACAGCGTCACCAGATTTCTCATAATTGATACAAAGTTCCTTTGAAGAAAACACACCCAGAGAACTATTACAACAACAACAACAAAACATGGTAAGATCAGCTAAGTGCGAAGCCCAAATTTGGCCTACTTTCATTAAAGTAATTTGGCACAAAAGCACTCAAATTCTACCTAAATTGTAAGGTTATACATGGGAACTTTACGATCCATAACTGGTTTTCTTTAAAACCAAAGCTAGTTATTCATGGCGCCATAAAAGTAAATTACTTATTGTCGTAACCGTTTTTCGTCCGGGCACGAAATATTAAATTTTGACGGGGAAATTAATGTTAATAAATAATTTTGAAAATAATTTGTGAGTCGCCATCGGCCTTTTGGATCAGGTAGGTCGAATACCTAAAATTATCTTTTAAAATAGTTTTTAAGAAAACCATATTTAAAAGATGAACTGATCTGCGTTTTATAACCAAAAATTCGTTCTTTTTAATAATAAAAAGGGATTCGTGGTCGGTTACGTTTAGGGAAGGATTAGCACCCCTACAACGCCCAAAATTGGTACTTTTTAATTATAAATTGTCTCTTTTATTAAAATTTAAAAATTCAAAAATATATTTAATTTATAATCCTATTATTTCAAAATTATATAAAAAATATTTATTTATTTTTAATATCTGAAAAGAACTTCTAGGTGCCTTAAGACAGCTCTTTTCTTTGATATTGATAAATATTGATTTAAATAATATTGTTTACTTTTTAATTTTAAAATATCAGAATAAGACATCCAGTTGTATTAAGACTGTCCTTTTCTTCGATATTAAAAATAAATATAAAAAAAAAACTATTCATTATATGTATATTTATGAATATATAAAAATATTTAACAATATAATAAAATAAAAATATCACTAAAACAATATATTTTAAGCATTAAAATGAAAACATATAAAATAAATAAAAATAAAACTAAATCTAATTCCTAATTAATAATTAATTGAAATTATAGGGTTTAAATATTTTATTTTCTAATTTAATAATTTAGTGACCAAAATGAAATTATTTAAAATTTAAATTTTATAATAGAATAAATTAAAAATATGAACTAGGGATAAAAAAATTATTTATTAAAATTAAGGGATTAAATCTGTCATTTATCCTAAATATATTATTTTAATAAAAAGGACTAAAATGAATAAAATTAAAATTCAAAGACTGAATTAAAATTATTATAAATTCAGTTTAGTGACCAAAATATAAAATTTGCAAATACGAAGGACTGCGGAAGGGATTTAACTTTTCCATAATTACGCGCATAGTCCTTCCCGAAACGACGTCGTTCGGGAAGGACTATAAATGATCCATACCGGCTGGCCCGAAGGGCCAGCCATTTCATTTCTTTTCTTCCCTCTCTCTCTCTCTTCTCTGAGAGAGAGAAATTTCTCTCGCTTCTCTCTAACACAGAGAGAAGCCCAGCCGGCCGGCAGCCGTTAGCCGGCGTTCATCCGCCGTCATCCACCGCCGCCGGCCACCGTCTTCGGTGGCCGGAAAAATTTTTCTTTTATCTAAACGTAGATCGGACCGTCCTAATGACGGTTCCGATGTTTTTTTTCGTTAAACGGCTCCTAATCGGAGCAAATCTTGAAAAATACCTTCGGTTTTCGAAGGTTTGCTGTGGAACGTGGAGGCGCGTGGTTACTCCGGTGGTGGTGTAGCTTTCCTCGGTAAGTCTCTTCTTCCTTTTTCTCTCTTTTTTCTTCTGGTTCTTTGCTGCTGAGATCTTTGGTACTAGTTTGTTTTTTTTTTCTTTCTCTGTATTTTTTTTCGTTTTCTGTTTCTGTCTCTGTCCCTGGTTTCTGTCTCTCTGTCCTTTTTTTTTCGCAGGTGGGTGGTGGCTTTTATAGCCACCACCGGTGTTCGTCTCGGACCGGTCCGAAGAGGGGGCTTCGGTGAGTCACCGGACTACCAGTGGTGACTCACCCCGTAGCCTTGCATGGACGGCTGGTATATGATCTTCTGGAGTCTTCGGTTGGGATGTGGCAGCGGCGGAGGCGGCGAGGGCTGTCGGCAGCCGCGTGGAAGCTGGAGCGGCGCCGCGTGGCCCTAGGGTATCAAACCCTAGGGTTTCCTTCTGGCATCATCTGGACCGTTGGATCTTATCAGATCCAACGGCTGTGAGCTGAGGCGGCTGATCAAATTAGGGTTAGGAAACCCTAACTGGAAACCCAAATATTTAGGGTTTCTGGTTGGATTTGGACCGGTTTTAGTTGGTTTGTAACTGGGCCGGTTTAATTGTAATTGGTTTGTAATTTATATTATGTATTTAATATATTTAATATAAAATAATAATAATAATAATAATAATAATAATAATGATAATAATAATATTAATAATAATAAGGATAATAATAATATTAATAATAATAATAAGGATAATAATAATATTAATAATAATAAGGATAATAATAATATTAATAATAATAATATGGATAAAAAAAATTTAGTATCTTCAGCTGCCCCTCTTTGCCCATTCTTGTGTTAACAAGAATAGGGCAAAGATGAAAAGATAATAAAATTTTTTATCCATTTGACTTTATTTTGATCATTATGGAGATATTGAATAAATTCTTCTTTTTCTCCAAATAAGTTCTTCTTATTATGAACTTTCTGCTGGGGATGATGATGACCTCCTTTTTGTGATAGAGTCATTCAAAAGGTTGAATAAGCTCTTGATGAGTTCTTCTCATTATGAACTTTCTCTTCCTTCTTCAGATGAGTTCTTCTCATTATGAACTTTACCTGGCAATGTTGATCCATCAAATGATGAATTCAAGCAAAAGGTTGAACAAATTCTTCTCATTATGAACTTCTTCTTCCTTCTTCAGATGAGTTCTTCTCATTATGAACTTTCTCTGGAAAAGATGATTCACCAAATGATGGATTCAGGTAAAAGGTTGAACAAATTCTTCTCATTATGAATTTCTTCTTCCTTCTTCAGATGAGTTCTTCTCATTATGAACCTTCTCTGGCAATGTTGATCCATCAAATGATGAATTTAAACAAAAAGTTGAACAAGTTCTTCTCATTATGAACTTCTTCTTCTTTCTTCAGATGAGTTCTTCTCATTATGAACTTTCTCTGGAAAAGCTGATCCATCAAATGACGGATTCAAGTAAAAGGTTGAACAAATTCTTCTCATTATGAACTTCTTCTTCCTTCTTCAGATGAGTTCTTCTCATTATGAACTTTCTCTGGAAATACTGATCCATCGAATGATGGATTTGAGCAAAAGGTTGAACAAATTCTTCTCATTATGAATTTCTTCTTCCTTCTTCAGATGAGTTCTTCTCATTATGAACCTTCTCTGGCAATGATAATCCATCAAGTGATGAATTCAAGCAAAAGGTTAAACAAGTTCTTCTCATTATGAACTTCTTCTTCCTCTTCAGATAAGTTCTTCTCATTATGAACTTTCTCTGGAAATGTTAATCCATCAAGTGATGAATTCGAGCAAAAGGTTAAACAAGTTCTTCTCATTATGAACTTCTTCTTCCTCTTCAGATAAGTTCTTCTCATTATGAACTTCCTCTGGAAAAAATAATTCATCAATTAATGAATTCAGGGAAAAGGTTGAACAAATTCTTCTCATTATGAATTTCTTCTTCCTCTTCAGATGAGTTCTTCTCATTATGAACTCTAACTGACACTGCTGATCCACCGGGTGATGAATTTAAGCAAAAAGTTGAACAAGTTCTTCTTCTTCAAATGAGTTCTTCTCATTATGAACTCTAACTGGTAATGATGATCCATCAAATGATGAATTTATATCTTTGCTAAAATCTTTGAAATTCCTGTCAAATTTTAACATGGATAAAATGAATGAAAATGCTCCTATTTTGCAAATGTCTAAATATGATGCATGAATGTTGATGCAATTTTTCATTTTACTTCAAAATGGTGAACTCTATTTTCCTCCACTTCATCATTTATTGCCAGGGTCACCTCTGGATATCAGTGTAGCAACTTATGCTATCAAGCTTGCATTTCTGAAGAACCATCTGATCAACTTGTATCTTTATGTCTTCTTTGCTTCATGAAAGTATCAGAAGAATTGTTTCACTTGTGGAACTCTTGCTATAGTCAGAGCTATGACTTTGATGCCCCATCTTGTCTTGGATAAAACCAACTTTATTTGTTTGGACTTGTGTAGAAATCCCATAAAGTTTTTATCTTTGAAAAGAGAATCTGTCAT